GACTACTGTTGGGGTCTGAGAGCCAACACCTCGTCCATCTTCAGTCACTTCGCCCTCGTTAAAGACTGGATCAGCAAGAGGGGGCGTGTCAAGTTTGACTACTTGGTCTCAAGAGCAGGCATCCAATGAAAACCCACATGTGAATTCTCCATCTCCGTACTGAGAAAAGGCGTTCAGGTAAGACAACGCCCCTTTTCTTGTTGTTGGGGAAAGGCCCTTCATTTCATACTCTGGGCAAAATACACCTCATTTTTTTAAAAAAAAATTTGTTTGATTTGCTAGCTAGGAGTTCAGGAAGAATTGGATCCCTGTTGAGCCATCCTTACTTAACCTTGTTCTGAATTTTATTTGTTGGTCCCACGCTCTCTTTATCTTCAACTTGCATGTGAGTAACTTCTGTTGGGGTCTTGAGTTTTTGCTATTGTCTCCCTACATCCAAGCATTTTCCAGGCATCCTAAGTTGCAAATTTATTCATGCAAAATGAGAACGAGGCACCATAACTTGGGAGGTGACACTCAGTTTTTCCCCATCTCTAAGTAGGGCTGGGAGATTCTGGAGGAGAGGCTGTCAGACAATGACTGGGTGGTTCAATTATGCTAATTACCATATGGAGGGTTTTTTTGTTTGTTTGTTCAGCATCTGTGTTCTGTGGCTTATTTAATAAATTGTGGTTGAAATAAGCTCTTGGTTAGCATAGGGGTCCCCTACTTTTTGCCGTGATGGACACATCCGGAGGTGAATGTTGTGGGCAATCTCACAAAATTATTAGGTAGGGATAACCGGAGAGCCTAACCTACCCAAAGATAAATAAAACATTTGGTTGTATCTGCCCACCAGAATATTGTTAACAAATATGACCAGAGTCAACATGGCTGTGGAAGCATTGCTTGAAATACAGGTTATGCATGAAGCTGTTGATTTCCTTTACACTATGTTTCTTTTTTAATTAAGATAATCTTAAGAAGAGATTGGACAGCAATTTGTCTGAAATGGTATAGGGTTTCCTGCCTGAGCAGGGGGTTGGACTAGAAGACCTCCAAGGTCCCTTCCAACTCTTATTATTCTGCTAAAAATACAATTGGGGTAGGATATTGGGGGAGTATGAAGACATAGACCAGGGGTCTTCAAACTTGGCCCTTTTATGACTTGTGGACTTCAACTCCCAGAATTTTTCGGCCAGGCACACTGGCTGAGGAATTCTGGGAGTTGAAGACCACAAGTCATAAAAGGGCCAAGTTTGAAGACCCCTGACATAGACTGTGTGCTCAGGCACTCATGCCCTGGTCATCTAGTTTGGATTACTGCAATGCGCTCTACCCTTGAAGAGTATTGCCAAAAAAGCCAACACAGTGCTAGGCTGCATTAACAGAGGGATAGAATCAAGATCACGTGAAGTATTAATACCACTTTACAATGCCTTAGTAAGGCCACACTTGGAATACTGCATCCAGTTTTGGTCATCACGATGTAAAAAAGATGTTGAGACTCTAGAAAGAGTGCAGAGAAGAGCAACAAAGATGATTAGGGGACTGGAGGCTAAAGCATATGAGGAACGGTTGCTGGAATTGGGTATGTCTAGTTTAACGAAGAGAAGGACGAGGGGGGACATGATATCCGTGTTCCAATATCTCAGGGGCTGCCCCAAAGAAGAGGGAGTCAAGCTATTCTCCAAAGCACCTGAAGGCAGGACAAGAAGCAACGGGTGGAAACTAACCAAAGAGAGAAGCAACCTAGAACTAAGGAGAAACTTCCTGACAGTTAGAACAATTAACCAGTGGAACAACCTGCCTCCAGAGGTGGTGAATGCGCCAACACTGGAAGTTTTTAAGAAGAGACTGGACAGCCATTTGTCCGAAATGGTATAGGGTTTCCTGCCTGAGCAGGGGGTTGGACTAGATGACCTCCAAGGTCCCTTCCAACTTTTATTATTATTATTATTATTATTATTATTATTATTATTATTATTATTATTATTATTATTATTATTATTATTATTATTATTTGGAAGCTACAATTAGTACAGCAGTTCAGATAAATCGGTCTATTAGGAATTGGTACCAGTTGTATCCAGTCAAAATTGACTGGCAGCTGGTTTCAGACAGGTGCGATTCTTCTCAAATGTTTCCAGAAATATAGCGGCGCAGACCATTCTGCAGACCCCTTGCTTCTGGGTCCAAAAATATCATCTTTAAAGCCTTTCATGACATGGGACCAGGTTATCTGAGGAGCCAGTTCGGCCCAGTGGGATTGGGCCGCCCAACTCCCTTCAGCAGAAAGGGCTTGTGATGTATCCCACTGGTCAAGGAATTTCAGCTAGTGGGATGTAGGAGAGAGGCTTTCCTGTCATGGTCCCCGCCCTCCGGAACATCTTGGTTGCTGGAGGTGAGATCAGCACCTACTATTCTTTTGTCTTTAAAACTTGGCTTTGCTGTGTCTTCCTGTCACATTAGGGGATCCAAAGCATATTGTAGTGCAGGGGTGTCCCAACTAAAAAGCAGTATAAAGTCCCTTCCTATGAAGCAGATCATAAGAGACTCTTGTGACCGTGTTACGGTTTAATGCACCTTGTTCCCCATGAATAGCTTATTACATAATTGGAGAATAGAATTAACGTAGGCTTCCCTCGCATATTTTAGAAATACATCCTCAGAAAGTACCAATTGTGTCAATGGGCAGCAGAGACTTTCTGTATTTGTGTGTACGTCACAATCTGAAACCTTCAAAAGCCCTCAAAATACATTGGCTCCAAACCCGGAGAATTCCCCCATCTGCTTTTGCTGAATTGTTGCGGATCAGAAAAGAAATAATGATTTTGTTTCAGCAGGTTGTTGGGTGTTATGGTGCGGGTGGGGGGGATGGTTTGGGAGGGGGCGATGTTGTAGAATTTGAAGAGATCGAGGACTCTCACGGAGTGAAAACTCAAAACTGAAATGTCTTGAAACTTCAAAGCCACTTGCCTCCTCTTTCCTTTGGAGTGTTTCCTCCTGAAATGTCCTCTTTTACTTTCCAAGGCTTTTTTTTTCTTCTTCCTTCTCCCTCTCTTTCTCTAGTTTGTCTGTAGCTGCATTGAGAAAGTTACACTACCTTTGCCAACTATTTTTTTTCCTCCCCATAGTCTTACTGTCCCCCCCTCCCTTACCTCCTTCTAATTCTGAGTTGGACCTTCTTTTTCTCTTTTTTGGCTTACTTTTATTTGTTTGTTTGTTTATTTATTTGTTTATTTTTAAAGGATTTCACCCAAGTGGCTTTTCCTGGCCAAGTGGTGGCCGGGCAGCCATTGCTGCGCTGGTGTCAAGCACGCTGCCCCTTTAAGAGGCGCAGAGGGGATGGTCCCCGGGACTTCTGTTGTGGAATGCCAGCTGCAGCAGATGCCGCAGCAGCAGCACGCCAAGCCCTGCAAGATGGTGTCTCCGCTAGGGTTAACGACACTTAGCTTGTTGTCTGGAACCAGTTCAGACCGGTTTTCTGGAAAGTGCTTTGTGTCTCCCGACTGAATCCTGGGAAAGGGTCATGTGTAGATCCAGTGATGTCATGGGATCACAAACTGACTCAGCTCTCCTCCCCCAGCCCCCACCCCCATCAGTTATGTGTGTTTCTTGCAGGTAGGGTTTGGAGAGGCTTGGTCAGAAGCAGGCCTCCCCGGTGCATGTTCCCTCCTCCTCCGAACTTAACTTTTTTTTTTTTTTTTAAAGCCCTTTTCCCTCAAGTCTCCCCAATTCCCACCTGATTCCTTAAGGATCCGGAGCACTTTCAGAACAGACTTATAAAGACTGTTGGGATGGGAAGAGTTACCCAGCTCTCCTAGTTTTTAAGGACGTTGCCGAATCAGGTGCCTTACTTTCAGCATCAGCCTACTAAAGTTGCCAGTTTTGGGCCATGAAGAGTTGATGGGGTAGGGGGAAAAGGAGCCCGCGTCCCCCTCCCTTCAACCCTCTTCATAGGAAAGGCTTTTCACGGAGCCTTGGGCACGTCACGAGAAGTAAAACTTTTAAAGAAAATCGGGGAATCTAAAATGATAAGAAAAACAAGCTTCGTTGACGGAAGGTAATGCTCCGGATTTCCTATGGGAAGTTAGGCATACTTGCACCTGTGTTGTTTTTTCCCCCAACCGGTCTTGGCTTTTGATTATTTTATTTCCACTCGAAAGAGCGTGATAGAGGGGGGGTGTGAGTATAGGATCGGAGCAGAACAACTTGATTTGCCATATATGTGGTAAAATATGGCACCCGGTTAGTGTACTTTTAACATATTCTCTCTCTCTCTCTCTCTCTCTCTCCCCCTCCCTCCCTCTCTGTCTCTTTTCCCCTTCCCTCCCTCCCTCTATCTCTCTCACCCTTCCTCCCTCTCTCTCTTCCTCTCCCTCTCTCTCTTTCCCTCTTCCCCATTCCCTCTCTCCCTCCCTCCCTCCCTCCCTCTCTGTCTCTTTTCCCCTTCCCTCCCTCCCTCTATCTCTCTCACCCTTCCTCCCTCTCTCTCTTCCTCTCCCTCTCTCTCTTTCCCTCTTCCCCATTCCCTCTCTCTCTCTCTCCCTCCCTCTCTCGCTTCCTCCCTCTCTCCCCCTTCTCTCTCTTTCCCCCATCTCCTTGTGCTTCTTTTCCAGAGCACCATAATGACGGAGGAAGCTTGCAGGACACGAAGTCAGAAGCGAGCACTTGAACGGGAAATCACCCAAAACGACGTGGACTGTAAAAAGATGAAAATGGACAAGGGGCTTTTGGGCGGCCCTGAGGCCGACTCTGAAGGGGGGGACCTTAAGCTAAAGACTGAGTCTGGATCTAGTAGAGTCCAGGGATTATTAAAAGGAGGGGAGATGAAAGCAACCATCCGAGTGGAGGTTCAGACGGGAGATGAGCCGGTGGATATGAGCACCTCAAAAAGGTAAGCAGTCATAAATGAGTTTTGGGGAACAAGTGGCCGTGCCTCTCATTCACTTCTCCAGGCAATTAGGGGGGGGGGAGAGTGTTGGGGGACAGAAAATGTCCTGGCATATAACAGAAACCCAAAGACAGGAAACTGCAGGACGCATCTGGTTCATACGGTATCGGTGGAACTCCCTGCCACATCATTTTTGGCTAGATTGGTTTAATATTTGCTCCGCTGTTGCCGTCATAAATATATGCCAGTTACCAAGCACCCAAATTTTGACCACATGACTGTGGGGTTGCTGCTACCGTCATAAGGGCAAGGACCAGACAAAAATAACTTTTTTGAGTGTTTTTCCACAAATTCAGACACTTGGCAACTGGTTCATAGTTACGACGGTTGCAACCTTCTGGCAAGCAAAACATCAATGGGGTAGCCAGATTCACTGAAGGACCTTGTTCCTAATTTAACAACTGCAGCGATTCACTTCATTGTGGCAAGAAAAGTGGTAAAATGGGGCAGAGCTCACTTAACAACTGTAAATCACTCAAGGTGGCAAATAATCTTCCTCAAGTTTGCCCCACAACAACAACAACCCTGTGAGGTGAGTTGGGCTGAGAGTCACAGCCTTCATGCCTAAGCCAGGACTAGAATTCCCAGTTTCCTACTTTCCAGGACTGTTGCTTTAACCACTAGCCCAGGGGTAGGCAACCTTGGCTCTTTTATGACTTGTGGACTTCAACTCCCAGAATTCCTGAGCCAGCCATGCTGAGGGGAAAGGGAGAGGTTTCCAAGCTGAGCCAGGCTGGCTCAGGAATTCTGGGAGTTGAAGTCCACGAGTCATAAAAGAGCCAAGGTTGCCTACCCCTGATCTAGTGACACTGAGTCGGTGAATTTCAACCTGCCTTTTTCCCCTTTATCCTCGTCTGATGCTTCGTCTAATACCACTCAAATGATAGTCAGCATTATTGGCAGGAGATTCCATCATTTGCACCAATCCTGTAATCTGGTTATCACTTTGTTTTAGGACTCTCTGAAAGTTTCAGTGATTCATTTAGAAACTCTAAAGGCTTAGCATAATTTTTAGGGATCACTTCCTTAACACCTTGCTTGGCCCAGTAACATGCTGGCTCAGGAATTCTGGGAGTTGAAGTCCACGAGTCACAAAAGAGCCAAGGTTGCCTACCCCTGGTATAGAGCAGGGCTTTTCAACCAGTGGTACAGGTACCACCTGTGGTACATTGGCACCTGGCAGGTGGTACGCGACCATCCAAGGAAAGTGGTAGTAGGGAGGGGAATTAACTGAACCGGTGGCAGCACTGCACAAGCCTGAGCGAGAGATGGCTGGAGCTGCAGGGCTGTCAGGGCTCACTGGAAGCGCCAGGATCAGCGCCAGGATCCAGCTGGAGTTCGGCGCTGATCCTGGTGCTTCTGCTGAGCCCAGAAGAAGCGCCGATCAGCTGGAATGTTGCAGCATCTCCAGGGTCTTGTGATTTACATTCAGATGCTTGGCAACTGATTCATATTTATGACGGTCACAGTGTCCCAGGGTCATGTGAAGTGACCAAAACCTGCTGCAACCACCCAGCAGACAGGGGGGAATAAAAACCAAACAACCCCCATCCCACCCCTGCTGCCAATCCTCAACAGAAATGCTCACAACAATGGAAACCTCAGACAGGAGGAAGAGCGCTGCCGGGTGGGCAGGCAGGTGTCTTGCTCGGCTGTGGCTTGGGGGGCACTTTTTTAAGTGCCTTTGTACCTTCGAACAGTCACTAAGTGAAGTGTTGTAAGTCGAGGACTACCTGTACTTTATCACTTTTTTCCTTTTGGGGGGGGGTCATCAAGTTTTTGACACCTTGTTGGGTGACTGGTGGTACTCAGATGTTGCCATATCCTAAAAGTGGTACAATGGGTGAAAAGGTTGAAAAGCCCTGGTATAGAGCATCACTGTGGACTGGAGATTTACAATTTGGTTTAAAATACCAAAAAGTTTTGTAACGTGGAGGTTCCCAGAGAGCCAAGTAACACTAGATTCCAACTCCCCTGGGTGACTTGGACCCTAAACTCTCTGGCAGAAATCCTAAGAAGACAAACTGAGAATGACGGTTTGGAAGGGAACAGTGTATGGTGTCTTGAACTCCTCAGAAAAGCAATGGGATTTAAATGAAGACTAATTAATGAATTAATTAATAGACATTGACAAATGCACTGAGAGGTTCCACTCGATGCACTGAGAAAAGAAAATAAGACAATTTATTTATTTATTTATTTATTTATAATTTAATTTATACCCCGCCCTTCTCCTCATGGGACTCAGGGCGGCTAACAGCCTCATAAAAACTACAATACAAATACAATAATTAAAAGCCGAATTAAAAAGAAATATTTAAACAGGCCGATCAATTAAAATTACCCTTAAAAATCCCCTGAAACTTTAAAATCATTAAAANGAGCGCTTTAAAGGTGGTGACTAGCACCTTAAAGCGTACCCGGAAGGCCACTGGCAGCCAGTGCAGCTCGCGCAGCAGCGGTGTTACATGGGAGCGACGTGTCGCCCCCAGCACCGCCCGCGCGGCCGCATTCTGGACCAGCTGGAGCCTCCGGATGCTCCCCATGGGGAGCCCCATGTAAAGAGCGTTACAGTAGTTCTCGACTTAAGACCACAGTTGAGCCCAAAGTTTCTGTGGCTAAATGAGAGAGATTTGGTAAGTGAGTTTCACCTCATTTTCCGACCTTTCTTCCCACAATTGTTAAGTGAATCACTGCAGTTGTTACATTAGTAACCTGGTTGTTAAGTGAATCCGGCTTCCCCATTGACTTTGCTTGCCAGAAGGTTGCAAAAGGGGTTCATGTGACCCTGGGACACTGCAACCGTCGTAAATATGAGTCAGTTGCCAAGTATATGAATTTTGATCACATGACCAAGGGGATGTTGCAATGGTCGTAAGTGTGAAAAACGGTCATAAGCCACTTTTTTCCAGTGCTGTTGTAATTTTGATCCGTCATTTAATGAACTCCCTGTATTTTGGAGAGGGGTGAGAGGGTTTCAATTGAACGTAGGCAGAGAGCAGCACTTTTGGCAATTCAGAAACAAAAGCATCTATTTGTAAAGTAATATTGAGTATTGGGGATGCCTGCATTGTTTGGACAGTTGCTGGTGTGGGTGATTTTTCATCAAGTAAACTAAAGCCAAAGATATTTTATATTTTGGTAGATGTAAAAATAGCAATTCACTCTAACTCTAAAAGACTACGAAGAGTGTTAATAACTTGATGTAGGCCACTATCCTCTATGACAGAGACCCCCAACCTTTTGGGCACCAGGGACTGGTTCCGTGGAGAGAGGTTTTTCCGCGGACCGGAGGGGGTGTGGTTTTGTGTGCTTCCTGCATCCTGCGGATGGGGCTTTGCTTGTTTGTGTGGACCGGTTGCTGGCATGCCATGGCTCGGTACTGGTCCACGGACCGGGGGTTAGGGACCCCTGCTCTATAGTTTCTCTTTGTCTTGACCAGGGGTAGGCAACCTTGGCTCTTTTATGACTCGTGGACTTCAACTCCCAGAATTCCTCAGCCAGCCATGCTGAGGAGAAAGGGAGAGGTTTCCATGCTGAGCCATGCTGGCTCAGGAATTCTGGGAGTTGAAGTCCACGAGTCATAAAAGAGCCAAGGGTTGCCTACCCCTGGTCTTGACCATTGCACAAAGACCCACAGTGATCCCCATCTGGCAAGGCATTTGGTAGGGCCCACTGGGCCTCAAATTTTACCTGTCCCCTCCCCCTTCACGCCAGCACCTGCTGACACTTCAGTTTTTGGCAGGGGTGTTGCAGCCATCAGCTTTCTAGCATGCTTTTGATGGACTTACCTTGTGGCTGTGTTTTACGGCAATCTAATGAGCAAGGAGCCATTCTGGCTGGGAACTTAATAAACTGCAGTCCCAGCACATTTAAAGTGGGGAAGCCGATGCTGGGGATTAAGTTGGAAATTTCCTAGGCACAAAACATGCATTTCCTTGAGCCTTGCCGAGTATTGTAGGCCTCTACATAGTAATCTATTCATACAGTGTTGCCCAAAGAGGGGGAGCTTTTGAAGGGCCATACTGCCCAGTTATAAAAAAGCTCAATGATCAGGAATATAGGTAGTCCTCGACTTAACGACCACAATTGGGTTCATGCTTTCCTGTAAGACAGTGGCTCTCAACCTGTGGGTCGGGACCCCATTTGGGGTCGATCGACCATTTCATGGGGGTCGCTAAGCAAGGCTGTCCGCCATTTTTTTTGTCCGCCATTTTTTTTCCCCTTTTCCAGCGGGTGCCTTACCTTCCTTGGGCTGGGCCAGCTGGTGGTCGGCCTGCTCCGTCTCTGCTGCTTGCCAGCTACGCCTCGGCCGGCGCAGGGGGCGGAACCACGTATGCGCGGCGCTCCCGGGCAGGGAAAGTCCTCGACTTACGACTGGTTGGGTAGTCCTCGACTTACGACCGGTTTAGTCTTCGACTTACGACCGGCTGAGGTCATGGCATTAAAAAGGTTGAGAACCACTGCTGTAGGAGATGACCAGAGTCCAAGGAAAGAATCAAATGCGTCATAAGTCACGAGACCCTTCGCACCCGCCAGAGATCTAAGTCCAGCCCATCTCGAATGACTCTTCTTACTTTTGTCCTCATTTCCCTTAATGGTCATTTGGCCTGATTCTTGTAGAGAGCTTAATCTTGCAATAAATCTTTATACTCCTTTGAACTGCCTGAATCTCCTGGTTTCCCAGGCATTTTACATTTCCATGGCTAAGCAAAGTGGTTAAGTGAGTTGCACCCAATTTTACCACCTTTTTGCCACAGTCGTTAAGCAAATAACTCTAGTTGTTAAATGAATCACAGATTCCTTACATGAATGTGGCTTTCCCTTTTGTCGGAAGCCAAGTGGGAAGGTTGCAAACGGCGATGACATGAACCTGGGACATTGCAGTCATTGTAAATACATACTGGTTGCCAAGCACCTGAATTTTGATCACATGACTATGG